AATTTATGGGCTAATTTTCATTTTTGGGTGAACTAACCCTTTAAGTTCCTCAAGACGGGCTTTGAACGTTAACAGAAGAAAGTGGGACAGTAAAGGGTCTTATATGGTTAGGACGGATGCCACAGGCCTCTTGTGTTCCAGAACATTTTTGCAACTCTACAAAAGGCTCATTCTGGCATCAAGCAAGCTAATCTCGGATCGCTAATGCCCCAGAACAGTCAAGACAGTGAGGAGAGGGAGGTGCACCAAGATCATTACATCCAAACTTCATGTCAGATTAGAATCTGAGCTCTTACATTAAAATGATTACTTTCTTCTAGCTTTCTTTCTTTCTTTCTTTTTGGTTTGCTCTCTTGAACAACACAAAAGAGGAACCCGTAACAGTGGCATGGAAGGGAAGAGTTGATGGAAAGACTTCATGGCAGATCAAGTCAGGATGAGGAACGGAAATAATGAACACAGACACAGCATGCGCCGGACAACAACTCATGCTTCAAACACAACACAGGAAGTGACAGAATGTAATAGCGAGATGCTATTTTTTCTTTGTTATACCCGACATACTCACCATCCTCTGTTGGAACATAGATGTTTAGATACAAACAATCCTCGTTTTGATCTTGAATGTAAGTGGCAACTATATCCAAGTTAAAGGTGAACCAGATTGGCATCATGATCTCTGGAACGGCGTTGTGAATGTTTTGCGGGCACACCGGCGCGAAATGAGTGGCGTTTTTGATCCCCGACCAAGACAAGGGTTGCTCAGGGGGAAGGAAGCGTTTCTCCCCCACCGGTGGGGCGGCGTATGGCACGCCAAGGTACTGGTCCACTGGTCCCAGGATCTCGCTGGGCAGAGGAACCCGTGCACCTCGTAATTTCCCATACTGCGTATTCACGGTGGGGTGGTAGCTTTGTCCCCTGACGAGCGTCACACACCAACAAAAAATCCATATCCACAGAGACACGTTGTGAGCCCTGCCACTGCAGCAGTCCTGCTGGTGCAAAACGAGCCGGTTTTTGTGCACCGCTAACCACATGGTCTGTGAAAATGTCCGCTTCTGCTTGGTGCCGATGTATGCCGAGAAACTCCTCCAGCAAGTGTCTCCTGCCTTCAGACCCTCAAACTCAGCCGGATTACTCCTGTCATTGAAGAAAAACACATACACGCTCTCTGGTCCCCTACGGAAAAATCCTCATTCACTGTCCAGTGTTCTCATCAGATCCACTCTCCTGCAGGAGAAAAACAAGACGAACATTTTAAATGGGACCGTTTTTTATACTATTGGCTTTTCTGTGTGCGTATAGAACGACACATATAAATATGACAGTGCTCTTAATGCATCCAGACAGTGTCAACAATATATTGGAAAAAACAGTTGGTTTTCTTAAGTTACGTCCTGGGTTTGTGACATCACAAACCCTGATTAACCCCGCCCCCGGGAACATGCAACAAAGGGGGTGGGGCTAGGGCTGGGCAAAAAATCTAATGCGATTTTCATGCGAATCTCGTCAGTAAAGCTGCTTCTGGTGATTAGTAGTAAATCTCCAGCACGTGCTTTCAGATGGAGCGGCATTTACTACACAGAGCCGTAGATCACTGACAAGCTACACAAAATCGCGTTCAAAATCGCAGGCGATTCATTGCACTGCTTTAGAGAAGAGGAAGAAAACTAGGGGTGCATGTAAAAATCTATTCATATATGAATCACGATTCTGTCTTCTAACGATTCTAATGGATTCACAAGTTTCAAAATCAATGTTCTAAAGCAGTGGTTCTTAATCTTGTTCCTCGCATCGCCCTGCTCTGCACACGCTCTGCATCTCTCTCTCTCTCTCTCTCTCAATCTCTCATTCAGATCACCAGCTCAGCTCAAACAATGAACTGTTCCATTTAAGCATATTTTCACATAGTTATGAGAAGCGTTATACATGGACACACGTGCGGTTGCTGTACTGTATTAAAGCTTTAATCAGGATAAAACCATATATTAAAAGCTAACAGAAGCAGTAGCATTTACAAATAACAGCGTATCTAAAAGTATGCGACAACACCAAACAAAAAAACATACCATTAAGAGCCGTGCTTGCACAGGTTCTGCGCAATACTCTTCACTAATATCCTCTGCGTCTCAATCGGGCTCAAATTGATAAGCAATATTGACGACGTCCTTGTTTACAATACAACCGGAGCACATGCCACTGAGGCGAGGGGCGTGGACGTTTAGACGCGCACTAGAGGCGGTTTAGCCAATAACACTGTGGACTAGCTAAGCAATCAGAGCCCATCGCGTATTTCTGAGGGAGGGGCTTCATAAAAGCAGGAAATAATCAGCGCGTTTAGAGGAGAAGGGACAGAGCGGTGTAGAATAAAGGTAAATTATGTGAAAAATAATGCTTTTTTTTTTTTAAATGAAGCATTAACACGTTAGACTGCACCCCATAAACACAATCAAGCCTAGAAAAAAACAGTCAACCACCCCTTTAAAATTAGCAACAGGTAGTATTTTTCTGCTTTCGGATGCAAACACTTTCCATGCTAGCATCTGTCTAATTTTTGAACACACCTCGAATTTTTATTTCTTTTCTAGGGAGAAATTAGCATTGTAGTAATTAAATATTAGCTTACTTATCATCAAAGCTCTCTCTATTTTGTATTTTGTTCATTAAAACACGTTGCCTCAGAAGTCTGTCCAGAATCAGTTTCGTGAGGTACCTTCATGCACAAACGCTCCCTGTAGCTAAAGTCATTGCCTGATAAGGCAGCGAGGCAACAAGTGCAGCTCCCTAAGCTATTGGATGCAGCCAGACTGTGACATTCCCTCATCTTCAGATTCCACAAACAAATCTATGCAAGGTATAAAGAAATACAACACAGACTACATTAAATGCGATTTCACTTTCAGCAACAGAGAACCTTGTTTTTGCCAACCAAACATGTAAACTATAAAGAAAATGTTAAACTAATTACTTGCCAGTGAATAACAGTAGACTTACTACTTTTAAGCTTATCCTGGTAATAGTAATATTTATGCATTTGCAATAACTTATTTTAGTACCATGCTTGTTCATCAAATATAAAATCTAGATCCTCAAGCAAAACCAGTTGAGAGCCACTCAATCAGTAAATAAAACATACTGTATGAGGGTTTTCCGTCAAGCCAAAATTACATCTCTGTCCAAATTCAACAGAAATGTGTTAAATAAAAGATTTTTCAGGCACAGGTCCCCTGTCCCCATCTCTGGAAAGCTGGTATTTGTAAGTGCCTCGTGGGCGCCTGTGCTAACACTGTAAATGCTAATGACGAGGAGGGTCGTCCCCAGTGGAGAGAAACTCTTCCCTGCTCAGCTACTGATCAATTTTCAATTTTTAAAGCTTAAGACCCTCAGACCTCCATCCCTCGGAGGGCTTGGAATAATAACATGGAGAAAAGCCGGAGTTTAGTAGCGGATATTGCATTCCAAAATGACTCTGTAAATGATTTATAATGTATCTAGTGGAGCAGTATCCACCAGACAAGAGGCAATACGAATCTTCCTGGAGGTGCAATTATCACTCCACAACTCCTATCCAAACTTGGGCTGATTTGCACAAAGCCTAGCAGGAAGTTCTTCATCCTCCACCTCATTATCTGCACACACTTACTGCTGCCTGTAATCGGCTGGCGTCTATGGACGGTACAGCTGATCTCCAGAGAGAAGAGACGCCCACTGAAGCAAAGGAAATGTCCGGCCCAATCTTGGCACACTTTAAACACTGTTTTCTCAAACTCATGACTTGTCCAATTCAGTTACTACTTGAGTGAGAAGTGATTTTAACAACTGATTTGAGAACTAAACAGAATAGATTTTTTCCCCTCCAGCAAACTTGTTTAAAGGAATACTTTAATCCAAAATTATTTTTATACACTTAGATACACTTGTGATATGCGCTGTGCCATGTTCATCCATGATTACTGGCTATGATACCAACGTTTGATGTCACGGATGTTAAACCTGGCATGATGCATCTATGAACAATGCATTTGAAGGCAGATTTGATAGCCATGTTGGAAGAGTACAATCATTATTTTGAGCAAATAAGAGTTTACATTTCATTCAGTTTCACACAAAACCATTGTATGTCTTCAGAAAATGCACTATTATGATACTTTTAAATCATTGTCGGAGCCCCCAAACCGCACCCCATTCATTTTAATTATATAGAAAAGCGCAACCAGAGCATTCTTCAATTTATTGCCTTTGTCTCTCGCGGATAAAAAACTTGAGCATATGCAAATGTAATGTTTGAGGGAACCTTTGAAATACAGTGAGCATTGACGATCAATAAAATATATCCTGGATATGTACTGAGATAAAGTATGTGATATTTTATTTTACAGTTGATATTTTACAGCTATGGCCATCATGGGCAATACTATTTCAAATGTTTACTAATAGGCAAAAAAAAAAAAAAAAAAACACAAAATAATAAGTGTTCAGTGGCATAAAAGCATGATGTGGGCACAAAATTATATCTAGAGACCAGAATATCACAGATAAACCTCAAAACACTTTTGAATGGGCAAGCTCCATTAACCTTTTTAGCCTAGCTCATGTATAATTCAGCCAAGCTGCTGCTATGCTCAGCCTGGTTGCTCCTGGTTGACTACCAACCCCTTCTCTCCACATTAAAGTTCCCACTTGTCTAAAACATACGACTTAATTGTCATTGATGTGGAGACCAGGCAGCGTCCAACACCTGAGACCCTGCTTCCAGCTGATATTAACATGCGGTTGTGTTGATCTGATCACAAGTGGTCCGCCAAGACGCATTACTGTTTCCACCTGATATGAACATGTGTTTCAAATGCGTCTCCTCTGAACACTTGCGGTTGGATTTCACTGAGACCCTCCCCTCTTATTTTGTCACACTCCACATCACTTTCATGGGAGCGCCGAGTGCTCACATTCAGGGAATCACATATGCATATATTGGTGTACAGTATATGAGATGGTCCTCACTGCAGAACACAAGATCCAGGGGGCGAGGTTGGATCCAGATCCAACTCCTCCCACCTTACATATACCTAAACCTACCCGTCTCCACCCCCTTTTAATGACAACACACCTGAAAGTCTCATTCCATCATGCCCACACATGCGTTACGTGGTACCTGAGCCATTGAGACAATGCTAATAGATAGCTTTCTTCAAAAAAAAAAAACACAACTTTTTGAATGCAGATCCACTTGAACCATGTCACCATACAAGGGCATGCATATGCTAAATACCTCTGAAGTAAACTAACCCAGAGCAGATTATGTTCAGAGAAGTAGCAATTGCTACTTACATACAATGAAAGTTACTTCAGTTTTTAGAACCAAAAGTTGAGGTTATTTACCTACTTATCCGAAAACTTATCCAAGCATGTTTCTGGAATACCACCATCTCCCCACCAAATGTGATGCAAAATTTCTTTAAAATGCAGGTTAACATGATTTGTATTTTATTGTAAGTTGTTTTAATTAGAATACATCTTGTAGTATAATGTAATACTGGCTATTGAAGAAAGACTGATAATAGTCATCGATAGCCAGATGTCACTGTTGTAGATTTGATTAGTATTCCTCTGCATTAAACTTTATTGCACACCTCACTGTTGAGACTTGTGAATCTCCATCCGTGATGTGTGAATTATGACTGTTATGGGAGTGTGCATTGGGACTCATTGTCATAAAATGCTGCAAAATACATGGTCACCATCTTAACACCTTCTGTGGGAAAAACAGCACAGAGCATGCAGAGCTGTAAAGACATTTTCAACATTATCCTGAAACTAAAACTACACATAAATATTTCAGATAATATCACATTTTGCAAACATTGTCACGTTGGAAGTGGGTAAAAACAGAGGAAAAACATTTGCAGCACATCAGCCCTACACACACTGTATTAGATTTAGCCTACACATTATGTATTTCAAGTAATATAGTAATTACTAAAGGCAGAAACATGATGGCACAACGAGCCCACCTGTATCTCTGCCTGAAAATTAAATGGAAAAGGTTGCAAAGGACAAAGCCTTAGGGAACAAAACCTTGCTCCTGGTTCAAACGCATCTGTCCTGGGGCTCCAAAAATATAACTCAATATAAAATCACATATTAAGGTGCACAAGATGGTGCAACAGATTACCCCGATGGTGTGTTGTG